TGGCTAAAAAACAAAGAACCAACAGATCCAGATCCAGTTTTTTCTGCTCTTCTTTCATCAATATGGCTCTTCTTCTTCTCTTTTGGTTACAAAAGAATGTAGATCAGGCAGACTTTTGCCCTTTTCCCCTGAAATGCTTGCATTTCCCCCATAGATGGAATCATTTAGCATTTTAGCATTTTAGCCTTCTACTCCTCAAAAAAGTTTGTCTATGCCTGATGTTGACCCTTTATAATCAGAATTATTTATTATTATATTTTTGTTTTTATTATATAAGTCTACAGGCACCACCTGTCTCCCCCCTGCTGACAGTCTTATGCAAAATTTAAGATGAATTATCGACTGGCGATGGTCATAAATCATTCATTAATAGAACGTTTGAACGCTCTTTATTTATTTGAATGTTTGTGTGTGTGTTTTTTTCTGGTATGGCCATATTTGTGGGGACATTTTTGGGGGTCCTCATTGAGTGAAAGTGTATTTCAAGATTAAATTTGGAATTTGCCTTTATTTGTCAAAGTTAATGGTGGGGTGAGGAGCCACAGGATGAAATTAGATTAGATTAAAGCCATTGCCCTGAACACTGGATTATTTTATCACAGATTTAAGATATTGAAGTGTCACCAATGTATTTTACAGACTACTGCAGTAACTGATAGTAACTGTCATACCAAGATTACCTTGCTTGTTAGAGATTTTAGTGTAAGTAGTGTAGGTGCAATGGGTCGAGTGCTGCTTCGGAGCACTCGGTGTTATCAACCAGTCTCAAATTAATAACACAACCAGTCTCATTAAAGTTATCTTTAATTATTATTTTAACCTACTAATATAGCAATAATGTATTACTTGAAGTATTACAAATATACTAAAATCAATAGTATCCAATAACAATTAAATATCTGAAGGATTTTGAGAGTTCTTGGCAAATTGGGTGGCTTCAATGAATAAAGTAACAACACAGACAAACACAGTTTACAAAAATAATCAAATTTATTTATACAACACTGTCAAGTTAATGACGGTGATTGAACTCATAAACAATGATCATTATAACAAAACAAGGCGTGTGTAGGTGTGTGTGTCTGTGTGTGTGTACTTATGTGCGTGTGTACACGAGTGGTCGTGTACGAGAGAGAGATGTTGCCTCTTAGCCACCAAGCAAGCGACTGAGCCCTTAAGGCGTGTTCACATACGCGACTGCGCAGTGGAAGAAGAACTGCGAGGTAGAAGGAACGGCAACAGGAAACACGTGAGGCGTGTATGCGCTCACGGAGGTGTGAATGGGTGTTGTGTACGCGCACCAAGATGCGCTCAGGTACAATGAAACAGTGCTTGTGATGTTATCAAAGTATATGGGGGAAGGGAGGCGTACCGCGTGGTCTACTCCAGACAAAGGACTTTGTCGGAGTTTTCCTGATCCCAATACTGATAACGTTACAAGTTAACACTGAAATACTGACGGTGTACAAGAGTATAACACCGAGTCAGGAGGTTAGAAAAGAAGTGCATGCAACAGCCTAGCTATAAAAGCAGCACAGATTTCAGACAACAAAATTCAATATGCGTACTTAAACTGTCCCTAAGTTTAAATAGCACTTAACAATACTACAGATTAACTAACGTGCCCAAATGCCAGCCTTACTGTAGTGAACGTCTGCTCGTATTTAGAGGGTAGTGGAAAGTCCGTGCTTCTTGGGTCCTTGCCAGAGCTGGGGACGTCCGTCTGGTTCCACTGTGTCCAGAGAGTCCTCTTGGTTCCGAAAGTCCGTTTCAGGAGGAAAAGTCTCTGACTGTCGATGTGCCGGTTCACACGAATACCGTTAGAAGGAATCCTGTCGCTTCTAACTTTTCAATAACTGCTTTGGTCGCAGCGCTACGTTACTTGTGTAACTTAATTACCGGTTAACTCAGTTAAGAAAAAGACGCTACTAGTGCATTTATCACCGTGGGCAATGGTGTCTACAAAAGCGCGTTGGTTCTTAGTCTTCTGAGACGAGCAGGTTTTCTCTTTTCATCGAGGTCCTACGGAGCGAAAGTCCTGAACAGAGAGAACGATATTGGGCTGACCCCCCAATTTAAAGGTTGCGGAGGTTACTGATCGTGACGTATGTGGATTTACCGGAAGCAGTGGAATTATGGGAGTTTGAGTCCTTGAAAGGACTGTTGTAGTACCTACATATCCCCCCTTTGGTCTTAGGGATATGACAGAGTCGTAACCCTGAGAGCACAAGGTTGTACAGTCCATATTCCATAATCCATTGTCATCCATATTGTCCATTTAGTCCTGTAAAATCTCAGAAGAAGTTGAGTCCTGACAAACAGTTCAAGGCATGGGCATTTGGGCAAATACCAGGCTGTAGGCATTTGGGCAAATACCATGCTATACACATGTGGGTACATGATAACTCACTACCTGACTAACACGTTCATGTACCACAATTTAAAAATACCCATTAACTTCATTTCTTCACATTGGAAAAGAAAAGGAATGAAGGAAAGGAAAGAAGTGTTAGTTGTCAGGGGTTAGACCAAATTATCGTTCACCCCCCTTTTGGAGTGAGGACTGCTAAAGGGTAAAGTTTGTTTTAATTGGTGTGTTCATTCGTTTTTAAGAGGGGTCTGGTCTCTATTAAACCTGTCAATAATTTCAGCTAACTGAGCCTTTACAGACTCCAATTCTGAGTGGAGCTCACTCAGTTCGTCTGAGTTACAGAAACGAACATGCCTACCCCTATGCTTCGGATCACGCTCAGACTGTTTCCACCATCTCTTGTTTGACTGTTGGTAACCGTCTCGTTTCCAACCACCTTGGTCTTTACGACCTCTTTCACGGGGTCGGTTGTTGTAATTATTGTTGTTGCTGAAGTTTTGACCATGGTTGTTCCTGTATCTATTTTGTCTCCTTCCCCACTCACTTTGGTGATGGGGTTTTGGAGCAGGGTTTCTCCAGGTGTGTCTCCCTGGTGGAGCTTCACTCCCTTCTAAGTCTAACAGGGAATTTCCTGCATCCTGGAGACTAAAGACTCTGGGTTCGTCGTCAAGTCTGTCCATTGGTCTGACGACTGTCTCCCAGGTCATCTGGGCTAGCTGCCTAATTTCCCTCATGGAGTAGTAACCCTGTCTGCATGTCACTGTGACATGGTTGCGTACACTTGAGTGGAGGTTGTGTAAGAAGAGGGATTTGAAACCTCTATCTTCCTCCAAGCCTGGTGCACTGCTACCCTGGAAATATGCGTTGCGTAGCCGTCTATAATATTCACGTGGGGATTCTGACCGTTTCTGCTCGATTTGCATAGCACACAACATTGCAGACGTCTCGTCAGTGTATTGCTCGTACTCTTCCTTCAAGTACTTACGAAGTCTCGTGTAGCTATCACGGACTTCTGGGGTTAGTGTCTCTATGAAAGCCCGAACATTGCTGCTAGACGTCTTCCAGATTAGCCTAAGCTTTTCCCGTGTTGTGGCGTTTGGCAGATCTACAAGGCATCGGTCAACTTCCCGTAGGTAATCATTAACATTAATGTTTTTATTATCTGGATCAAAACGTTCAATGTCCTGCGCTAGCAGATCAATTTGACGTATACGAGGTTCACGGGTTGCCTTTCTACGTGACCTCCTTGATCTTTCTGAATATTCACTGTCTGAACTATTTACTGATTGTTCATGGCGCTCTCTATGTCTATGGTCCAGTTCATCCGCTGATGAATCAGGGATGTCATAATACACCGGCTTGGGTGTGCCAAGGGATTTGGCTCTGGACGAGTGCGGTATGGCTCCAGCCTGGCTATCTGATGGAGTCGTTTTGTAGCGGTCTAGGATGATTTGGTGGGCTGTCTGGTTATGCCCAAGATGATTTTCAGTATCTTCATCGGAATAGTCTTCCTGTTTTGAATTTTCCTCTGGTAGCGAGAGAGAGTGGGCATGTGTTGCTTTGGCTCGTTCTTGGTCATTGCAACACTTTTGGAGGATTTGCTCTTCAGCAACCCTCTTGTCAGCCTTTCCAGCTCTCTGTAGCTTGCTGACACACTCTGTAAGGGACTGGTTAGTAAGCCTGAGTTCCCTTTTAAACTGTTGGTTAGCCTGAGCTAGCTCGTCTCGGCTGTCGCTTAACCTATCTGCCACTTCATGAAGACGTCTGATTTCTAAATCAGTGTCTCTGAAGTGGAGCAGGAATAGCTTACCTATTATTTCCTCTGCACTGGAAATGCATCTGGGGTCTCTGATCTGTTTTATAGTGGCATCTATGGTGAACCTGCATTCAGCCTGGCTCAACCTTTTAAAGTTTGCCTTGGTGGAGCTGGAGCAGTGAATTAAATCTGCGACAACATCAAAGAGAGACACGTCTTTAGCGGTGTCTTTGTGGTAAGAGGTGCGCAGAGATGCCATTTTAATTTAATTATTAACAGTAAAGTTTAATAATTTGTTAAAATAAAGAACTAATCTCCTAGATCTAATAAAATTAGGTTGTAAGTAGTAAATACTATTAACCGTCTGAACACACCTGAAAACAAACCTTGCAGTTACTAAGCAAACTGATAATTTGTCTATTGTTGAAACAAATATCCAAAGAAGCCAACAAAACCAATTTGCCTCACACGGGGCACCATTAATATGTAGGTGCAATGGGTCGAGTGCTGCTTAGGAGCACTCGGTGTTATCAACCAGTCTCAAATTAATAACACAACCAGTCTCATTAAAGTTATCTTTAATTATTATTTTAACCTACTAATATAGCAATAATGTATTACTTGAAGTATTACAAATATACTAAAATCAATAGTATCCAATAACAATTAAATATCTGAAGGATTTTGAGAGTTCTTGGCAAATTGGGTGGCTTCAATGAATAAAGTAACAACACAGACAAACACAGTTTACAAAAATAATCAAATTTATTTATACAACACTGTCAAGTTAATGACGGTGATTGAACTCATAAACAATGATCATTATAACAAAACAAGGCGTGTGTATGTGTGTGTGTGTGTGTGTGTCGATGCTCTTATTTACACTTAAACATCAAGAACATATTTACTATTTACATATTATTACTGTAAACAAAAATAGGCCAGGATTCAATGCAAATGCTTTATCATGTTTTTAGGATTAAGATTAAGATTTCCTTTATTGGACCCACAGTGGAGAAATTGACAGTGTTGACAGCAGCAAAGTACAATATGCGGTATAAAGAGTGAAGTCTAGCATAGTGCTTTACAAATAAGATATCAGCTTGCAATTTTGTAGTTTTCCAGTTTACAGGTATAGTTACTTTGAGATATTGCAATTGAGATAATAAATCAATTAATTATAGAAGATAATAATACAGAGAAACAAAGACTGTACATAATGACAGTCAAACAATTTGACATGTTACGATTTTTACCATTATACTTAAATAAACAGGTGAGTGACATTCCACATGAGAATGGACATTTTTGCTATTACACAAGGTAATGCTAGTTATACAGTTATTGCACATATACAGTTTTAGTATGGTGTATTGATGACTACATACCCTGATCACTTCCCTCTGTATCTGTCTCTGGTCTCTCTGTCCTACTGTCACCTCCTTCATCTTGAAAAGGTGATTTCTCACGGCAGCTAGGAGCACACACAGGGAACAAGTGGAGCAAATCCGCTTTCTTCTCGTTCTCCAAACCAGCAGACAGTTGGCAGGTATGTCCATCACTTGATATGGTCACATATGTTTATTATTAAAAAACTATTTCACATGGTGTTTAATGACAACATGAGACACGTGTATCTGTCTTTCTTGCCTGCAGTATGTGGTTTATAGACCTGGCAGGAAGTGAAAGGGCATCAGACACCAAAAAAACAAACAGACACAGTCGCATAGAAGGAGCTGAGATCAACCAAAGTCTCTTAGCAGTAAGCTAAGTAAGTGATATGTTAACACACACAAAGAGCTCAAATACAGAAACAAAGGTCATTGTATTTACCTTTTATTTGTTTAAAGCTCAAAGAATTGTAGGTGCAATGGGTCGAGTGCTGCTTAGGAGCACTCGGTGTTATCAACCAGTCTCAAATTAATAACACAACCAGTCTCATTAAAGTTATCTTTAATTATTATTTTAACCTACTAATATAGCAATAATGTATTACTTTAAGTATTACAAATATACTAAAATCAATAGTATCCAATAACAATTAAATATCTGAAGGATTTTGAGAGTTCTTGGCAAATTGGGTGGCTTCAATGAATAAAGTAACAACACAGACAAATACAGTTTACAAAAATAATCAAATTTATTTATACAACACTGTCAAGTTAATGACGGTGATTGAACTCATAAACAATGATCATTATAACAAAACAAGGCGTGTGTGTAGGGGTGTGTGTGTACTTATGTGCGTGTGTACACGAGCGGTCGTGTACGAGAGAGAAAGAGAGAGAGAGATGTTGCCTCTCAGCTACCAAGCAAGCGACTGAGCCCTTGAGGCGTGTTCACATACGCGACTGCGCAGTGGAAGAAGAACTGCGAGGTAGAAGGAACGGCAACAGGAAACACGTGAGGCGTGTATGCGCTCACGGAGGTGTGAATGGGTGTTGTGTACGCGCACCAAGATGCGCTCAGGTACAATGAAACAGTGCTTGTGATGTTATCAAAGTATATGGGGGAAGGGAGGCGTACCGCGTGGTCTACTCCAGACAAAGGACTTTGTCGGAGTTTTCCTGATCCCAATACTGATAACGTTCCAAGTTAACACTGAAATACTGACGGTGTACAAGAGTATAACACCGAGTCAGGAGGTTAGAAAAGAAGTGCATGCAACAGCCTAGCTATAAAAGCAGCACAGATTTCAGACAACAAAATTCAATATGCGTACTTAAACTGTTCCTCAGTTTAAATAGCACTTAACAATACTACAGGTTAACTAACGTGCCCAAATGCCAGCCTTACTGTAGTGAACGTCTGCTCGTATTGAGAGGGTAGTGGAAAGTCCGCACTTCTTGGGTCCTTGCCAGAGCTGGGGACGTCCGTCTGGTTCCACTGTGTCCAGAGAGTCCTCTTGGTTCCGAAAGTCCGTTTCAGGAGGAAAAGTCTCTGACTGTCGATGTGCCGGTTCACACGAATACCGTTAGAAGGAATCCTGTCGCTTCTAACTTTTCAATAACTGCTTTGGTCGCAGCGCTACGTTACTTGTGTAACTTAATTACCGGTTAACTCAGTTAAGAAAAAGACGCTACTAGTGCATTTATCACCGTGGGCAATGGTGTCTACAAAAGCGCGTTGGTTCTTAGTCTTCTGAGACGAGCAGGTTTCTCTTATCATCAGGGTCCTACGGAGCGAAAGTCCTGAACAGTAGGGGTGGGCGGATCGATCCAAATATCGATATTATCGATACTAAGCAAGTACCTGGATCGGATCGATACTGTTGTCCTGGGATCGATACTTCGCTCCTCCACCAATTTCCTCAAAGCACCGATTCTCTGCGCAAATAGCGCAGCCCCCTCTCTCTCTCGCCCAGCGCCCCCTGCTACTCTCTGAGTCTCTGCCTGAGTGAGTGACTCAGGCACACTTTTAGCCCCTCCCCCTACCTGGCCACTGGCCTGCTGCATCCTGCCTGCCAGGAAGAGAGGGCGACGGGAGAGTGAGAGCAGCCGGAACCTAAAGCAATGGCAGAGCCAAACAAGAAGCGGAGCGCGGTGTGGACTTTTTTTACAACAACAGAAAAACACAGTGCCAAGTGTGATTTGTGTAATAAAGTGGTCCGCTACTGTGGTAACACCACGAATTTACACAAACATATGAAAAAAGCTCACCCTACAGAGAGCAACGAGCTGCAAGCAAAGAAGTTGAGGGAGGAGGGGGGGGATCCCCAAGCCAGAACACCCCCGCGGACACAGAGACAATGTACTCTGGCAGATGCTTTTCAGCCAAAAAATCAACAATACCCAGGTCAGGGTTATAAACAAACAAACTTCGCAAAAGTTTTGGTTGTCTGCTTCGCACCAGCTTTTTACGGGTAATTTTAGTACGCAGCAATAATTAAACAAGTTCTCGATGTAACAGAATTGGCATCAAACCATTTTTTTTCCTAATTAGTCAATTAAATTGAAGAATAGCTGCAGCCCTAGTTTTATTGGAACCCAAAAATATAGCTACCCATATAAAGATAGGCTCTATACCTCAAACCTGAAATATGAATATTACTGACTATAATAACTCTTTAGTGTTAACTGTTGAAGGAAAAGTAGCATTCCTATTTAGGCTATTTTCAGATTACAGTTACAGACTTAATCATTTTGTCATTTCACCTAGATAATTCACAAAGAGCCAAGGACATCACAAAGAGTATTGCCATGATGATCGTGAAGGACCTACAACCCCTCTCTGTGGTTGAACAGGAGGGTTTCAAGAATTTAATAAAGACACTTGATCCCCGCTACAGGATGCCAAGTAGGAAATTTTTCATGGGAGAAAAAATACCTTCATTGTATGAAGAGTGTTGTTCTAAAGTTAAAAGGTGTCTGGATGCTGCTCACAGCGTTGTACTGACCACTGACATGACTAAGCATCCACTTATTTATAAAGCAAAGACAGTGGCTCGTTACAATTACGGGCTACCACAGAGTTCTACTGCTGCAAAAAAAATTTTAGTGATAGTGGTTTGTGTTGTCATGGGGGTGGATTGGGGTGTAAGAAAATATTGATACACTGAAATATCTTAATGTATTATTTCACAATAGTGTATTGATATTCTACATCACTGTATCTTTTTTTTATAATTAATAGTTAACATGAAAATATTCTTGGTGTTGGTTCATTTCATTTTTGCTTTTATTCCTTTTGTAGTGATTACAAATGTAGCGCCGATGCTCTTATTTACACTTAAACATCAAGAACATATTTACTATTTACATATTATTACTGTAAACAAAAATAGGCCAGGATTCAATGCAAATGCTTTATCATGTTTTTAGGATTAAGATTAAGATTTCCTTTATTGGACCCACAGTGGAGAAATTGACAGTGTTGACAGCAGCAAAGTACAATATGCGGTATAAAGAGTGAAGTCTAGCATAGTGCTTTACAAATAAGATATCAGCTTGCAATTTTGTAGTTTTCCAGTTTACAGGTATAGTTACTTTGAGATATTGCAATTGAGATAATAAATCAATTAATTATAGAAGATAATAATACAGAGAAACAAAGACTGTACATAATGACAGTCAAACAATTTGACATGTTACGATTTTTACCATTATACTTAAATAAACAGGTGAGTGACATTCCACATGAGAATGGACATTTTTGCTATTACACAAGGTAATGCTAGTTATACAGTTATTGCACATATACAGTTTTAGTATGGTGTATTGATGACTACATACCCTGATCACTTCCCTCTGTATCTGTCTCTGGTCTCTCTGTCCTACTGTCACCTCCTTCATCTTGAAAAGGTGATTTCTCACGGCAGCTAGGAGCACACACAGGGAACAAGTGGAGCAAATCCGCTTTCTTCTCGTTCTCCAAACCAGCAGACAGTTGGCAGGTATGTCCATCACTTGATATGGTCACATATGTTTATTATTAAAAAACTATTTCACATGGTGTTTAATGACAACATGAGACACGTGTATCTGTCTTTCTTGCCTGCAGTATGTGGTTTATAGACCTGGCAGGAAGTGAAAGGGCATCAGACACCAAAAAAACAAACAGACACAGTCGCATAGAAGGAGCTGAGATCAACCAAAGTCTCTTAGCAGTAAGCTAAGTAAGTGATATGTTAACACACACAAAGAGCTCAAATACAGAAACAAAGGTCATTGTATTTACCTTTTATTTGTTTAAAGCTCAAAGAATTGTAGGTGCAATGGGTCGAGTGCTGCTTAGGAGCACTCGGTGTTATCAACCAGTCTCAAATTAATAACACAACCAGTCTCATTAAAGTTATCTTTAATTATTATTTTAACCTACTAATATAGCAATAATGTATTACTTGAAGTATTACAAATATACTAAAATCAATAGTATCCAATAACAATTAAATATCTGAAGGATTTTGAGAGTTCTTGGCAAATTGGGTGGCTTCAATGAATAAAGTAACAACACAGACAAATACAGTTTACAAAAATAATCAAATTTATTTATACAACACTGTCAAGTTAATGACGGTGATTGAACTCATAAACAATGATCATTATAACAAAACAAGGCGTGTGTGTAGGGGTGTGTGTGTACTTATGTGCGTGTGTACACGAGCGGTCGTGTACGAGAGAGAAAGAGAGAGAGAGATGTTGCCTCTCAGCTACCAAGCAAGCGACTGAGCCCTTGAGGCGTGTTCACATACGCGACTGCGCAGTGGAAGAAGAACTGCGAGGTAGAAGGAACGGCAACAGGAAACACGTGAGGCGTGTATGCGCTCACGGAGGTGTGAATGGGTGTTGTGTACGCGCACCAAGATGCGCTCAGGTACAATGAAACAGTGCTTGTGATGTTATCAAAGTATATGGGGGAAGGGAGGCGTACCGCGTGGTCTACTCCAGACAAAGGACTTTGTCGGAGTTTTCCTGATCCCAATACTGATAACGTTACAAGTTAACACTGAAATACTGACGGTGTACAAGAGTATAAGACCGAGTCAGGAGGTTAGAAAAGAAGTGCATGCAACAGCCTAGCTATAAAAGCAGCACAGATTTCAGACAACAAAATTCAATATGCGTACTTAAACTGTCCCTAAGTTTAAATAGCACTTAACAATACTACAGATTAACTAACGTGCCCAAATGCCAGCCTTACTGTAGTGAACGTCTGCTCGTATTTAGAGGGTAGTGGAAAGTCCGTGCTTCTTGGGTCCTTGCCAGAGCTGGGGACGTCCGTCTGGTTCCACTGTGTGCAGAGAGTCCTCTTGGTTCCGAAAGTCCGTTTCAGGAGGAAAAGTCTCTGACTGTCGATGTGCCGGTTCACACGAATACCGTTAGAAGGAATCCTGTCGCTTCTAACTTTTCAATAACTGCTTTGGTCGCAGCGCTACGTTACTTGTGTAACTTAATTACCGGTTAACTCAGTTAAGAAAAAGACGCTACTAGTGCATTTATCACCGTGGGCAATGGTGTCTACAAAAGCGCGTTGGTTCTTAGTCTTCTGAGACGAGCAGGTTTTCTCTTTTCATCGAGGTCCTATGGAGCGAAAGTCCTGAACAGAGAGAACGATATTGGGGCTGGCCCCCCAACTTAAAGGTTGCGGAGGTTACTGATCGTGACGTATGTGGATTTACCGGAAGCAGTGGAATTATGGGAGTTCGAGTCCTTGAAAGGACTGTTGTAGTACCTACAGTAGATATTCAAGAGATGAACTGACCATTCACAGACAGGAGTACAGACAGGAGTTTAGTGACGTGGACCAGCCTTTATACTGCTGCACATTCGTCTCCATTTTGCCCTTTTAAATAAGTTTAACCAATGAAAAAAACTCTTAAAAAGCTGTGACTACTCTTGTTGCTAGGTAAAAATTGTATTTATTTGTTGGGTTTGCACCACTTCTCTGCTGTTCTTGTTCATCTGTCGTCGTTTCATCTGTGATGCTAACCTAAGCCAGATATACAAATCCAGTCTCCAGTCCATGTTTTTATGTAAACCTGCAGTCAAATATGAGTCACTCCCACCAATGTCTGACTCTGTTCAAATATGACGACCATGAAAAACAAAATTGTAGAATTACTATTTGGTATGTATGTGAAATACATTTTATTATTACAGTAATTTACCACAAATAATCTTCAAAACTTCTACTGTCTATTGTATTATCATTTTGTTGGTGCCGACAATTACGTTATTCAGTCACCACTATTGTCATCTAACTGCCACAGATAGAATGACCTGAAAAGAACCACACCTGACAATGTTGTAAGTTTTACTCGCTGCGAGGGGGAGCAGAGAGGCCAACAGCTACGCAGAGTTAGCTCACCTAAGTCCCAAAGTGTATGAGGACTGCAGCTCCTTTGATTGAGAAAGTTACATAAGTACTGAGCAGTTGTTTTTTCATTACGTATATACTCTTTGCAAAGTACACAATTCACATAATTGATGAAGAACAGACTTCATCCTTTGTGGACCACATCGTAAAATATTTCTAGGAGTACGTACAGGATATTTCCTGTACAAAGCAGTATCTCCTAAAAAGGAAGTTCTTGATGGACATTTCCTGTGCATCTTCAACAAAGGAGTACCTGTTCCTGACAAGCAGATTATGATTTATAGAGCTGTGGCACTGTCCACAATAAACGTAATAAATAAACAATAAACGTACTGTCCACGTTTATTGAGCCATTGCCGACTCCAGATGCACCGGCACCTTTTCTTTTTCGAATTTTCAGCGCACAGTATCGCAGCAATCATAATGGCAGCCTTCTTCTTTTTGTCTAGCATGTTCCTAATAACCCACGTTGGAGCTTTCAAATAAGTCTTTATTGACAGCTGTCAATAGACAGGACAGTCAGCAGGGGCCGACGGGCCATTTTCACCTGCACAGTGTGAGCTCTCTGGTCGTGTTCAAAGATTGGACTGTACAGTGTGAGTACATAAATCGTGAGCTTTGTCCGTACATCGTAGACAATTACTCATACAGTGTGTGATGGTATCAATGACAAGATTTTCAAAAATCATACAGTGTATGCCCGCCCTAACTTTGTTCCTTGGTGAAAAGCGATGCATAATTTACTCACGGATAAAGACCGTGGCCTCGTTAGCGTCACATTTCCCTCCGTGATTCACACATTTGCGTATGGAACTAATGGACTTCTCTGTGGGCGCGAGGTCAGGGATGTTTCCTTGACAATCAAGTACAGCCGCTGTAGCTGTAGCATAAAGAAGGCGGCCAAAGGTTGACATCAATTTCGCTCAAGATGTTCCCTTACAAATGACACAACAAAACGCAAATAGCACGCAAGTAATAAACCAAACAGATAAGCAGTTTGAACATTTGTTTCCTGGCTTGATAACCTTTTCATGTCCAATACCAAGTCGGAGTATCTGCCAAAACAGATACCTTCCGATACCTTCTTTTCTTCTACAGCATGCCGTGGGTAGCATTGCTGAGGCGATAGTGTCCACGGTAACGGCATGTCGCGCAAAGCTAAGTTTAGCATTTAGGCTTAGGAATCGGATCGGTCGGACATTAGTTTTTTTAATGTTTGATTCTGAGATTTTGACAAATCGGATCGATACCGATATTAAGTATTGGATACTGAGTATCAAATCGAGTCATCCCTAGTCTTATCCCAAACTTTAATAGCTAAAGCTATAAACTTTTTGCCGAAATCCAATACGCCTATATTGTCCAAACACGTAATTTCTGATTCTGATATCAACCGATACCAATATATGTAGTGGTTTGCGTGAAAGGCAGAGGACAATTTTATTGTGTGCAGTGGTGTGCTGTGTCACAATGACAATACTGGGCACAGTACGAATCTTAGTTTCACTTTCACTTCAAAACATTTGGGCGAAACCCGGGCATTGGTTTATCGGGTTTTCATTATTGCAGGAAAAATCGATAATGATTCTTATTGATTTTACATAATTAAGCTAATATCGTCTCTAATATGGGTTGGATGATAATATGGGTTGGCCAATAATATGGGTTGGCCGATATTATTGGTTGGCTGATACTACCGGACATCCCGAGCCAAAATAAAAGTTCTCCTTAGTTCAAACGACAGTTCCCACCTTAACCAGCCCACATCCATTTGAAATGGGCTGCAGCAAAAGGGACAAGGGTTTGAAGTGTTTGAGTGTGTGGTTGTCGTGACAGATCGGACCTGTCTGTCGGTCTGTGTCTAACCGATCGGTGCAAACGTGATCTGCTCACGCACTCACTGTATGGCTCTGCGCAGCTGAAGTGGATTAAGTGATCCAAATGAGGGTTGTGGAGGAGGACGCGCCACCATTGATCCTGCTGTCCTCGCTCTCCAACCTGCACTTCACAGCAGCCCAAAGTGGGAGAGAAGGAGGCGAGGTGGGGACACAGCGTGGGAATTAGCTACTTTAGCTCCAAATTTTTTATATCAAGGACACTTAGCGCGTGTAAATTAGCCACTTCCCTGACAGACGTAGAGGACGGATTAAACAAACAGGCCACACAGAAACCCTAGTGGTGGGACAGAGAATGAGTCAAAATGTCGTTCTCACTAAAATATCCGTACATGACTATTAAAATCTTCCGACTTTTCTCCTTTCCAAAAAGTCCTACATGACATGAGAGCCTAGCTTAGCCTCTGGTTTGATAACAGGCTCTTAGAGAATCACGACGTTAGCCTTCAGAGAAACTTGACAGCATGACATCAACCTCAGGAGGATAATTTTGAATATTGTCATGAGTACTGTGTCGGCTCAGGTGGAGTACAGTATGTGCCACCAGCAAAAAGACTACAAAATGTCACTCATGGGGTTTTGTTATCACAACTGCAGAAAGTTTTTTCAGAGGCTCAGTCCTCCATCTTGACATGATGTCATCCACGATAATACTTTAAAAACCACAGCAGACAGTTATGTACTGAGAGAACAGATGCAGTACATGTCAGGTACTATGACAGAACCCAAAAAATATCCATAATATATCCATAGATTAACCCTGCATTTCTATCTGTTTTAGTTTTTTTTTGTATTTTTAGTTTGTATACATGTTTTTTTGTGTTTTTATTAGATTAGTCAATTTCTTAGTGTAGCCATTATGCCTGCCTCGGAAGTAGAGTCCTGGGTTTGATTCCCAGAGGAACCACATGATCGGTGCCTGCCGGATCTGCTGTCAACACAAGAGTTGTCCAAATATGGGATCAGTAAATTTCTTTAGAAAAAATCCTGATTAACTGAGATACGGTACATCAATGTTCCTAAAAATGACACAAAAATATCACAGAAAGTGAATGAACAGCAGGTGGATGTCTGTGTTTCACATGTTCTGTTGATGAAGGTAAACCATCCTGAAACAGAAATACGTTCACCTTCATTATACAGTCCACGGCTGTAACTGCCTTCAATCCGTCCTCATCATCCTGTCAATTTATTTTCACCTCATTATTTCACTGTGGGTTTTGAACGAGCAGGTCAGGGAGCCTCTCTGACCAAATCGCATTTGATCCTGTAATGAGATGGAAAAATTTGTAAAGAGCTTTTCTTTCTCTTTTCATCTGCTCAAAGGGAACATTAA